TCCCTGTAACAGGTAAGAATTTCCTCTCCACTTCTCTCCCGTACTCAGTGGCACCTCCCCTCCTGTTCCCCTCTTCCCCGTCTCCTGCCGTCCCTGGTTGAGCTGGGGGCAAGAGCAGGTACAAAACCATTCCTGCCCCACTCCAGCTGGGCTATGGAGGGAGCTGGACTCAGGTGGGGGCAGTGGCAGTATTGGCAATGGGTGGGTTTCTCCTTCCTTCCTTGTCTCTCTGGGTGGTATTCCCTGCCAGTCTGGGAGCAAGCTCAGGAGCAAGGGGACAGCAGCAAGGCAGGAATAGCTTTGGAGCTCCTCCTGCTCCTGGATCAGCTGGGGACACAGGCAATGGTGGGAGGGAACATACCACTGAGAAGGAAAGGGAAGGGAAGGGAATAAGTATTAAGACCAGGGGAAGGGGCAGGGAGACAGAATTCCCCCGATTTGAGGACTTACAAAAGAAATGGGAATCTCACAGAATGAGTTTGAGAGCTAAAGGCTATGACAATGGGATAAGTAGGGAAGGCAACACAAAGTTCAGAAGAGGCTTGAGAACTTTTAAGAAGAGTATTTTGTCTCATGCAACACATTCTTTGAATCTATCATTCAACAATGCTGCAGATTTGAGGCATCCCTCAGAAAATGCCAACTCTTACTTTTCACTCATTTAACTACAGAAAAATACTAGAGCAATTCTTTTGTTGCAAAGAACTCACAGGCTTTCCCTGGGGCCAACTAGTGGTGGCACAAGGCGTCTTGCTGCTAGTTGATCCTGGGGAACCAAACGTTCCTGCTTGTGTGGATACAGCATTTGGGTTTATCTCGGAAATTGCATTTGAACACCTCACAGTGCTAACGTTGTATGGCACCCCGCTGTGCTAGGGGTGCACCAATAGGGATTTTGGGGGGCAATACTGATATGCCTCCTTAAAAATTGGCTATCAGCTGATACTGATCCGGTTTCTGATACACAGCCCTGCAGCTTGAAGAGCTGCATCCAGCTGGTAAGCCTGTTGTGGTGGAAGGAGAAGGGCGAGGGAAGGGGGGGGCAGATCATGGGTGAGGGAGTGGGGCTGGGGCAGGAGCTGCCCAGCTGGGGTGGGGTGGGGCGGGGCAGGGCATGGGAC